CCAAATTTCCAAAGCAAGGCAACCCTGGACATAGTGTAGAGTTTGGAGTCTTCAGCCCCCAAAGCCCAGAGCCCACACACACCCAGTCACTCTTCACTTCATCTCCCACCTCCCCTCCCACTTCACTTACCAGCGATGGCTGTGGGTTTTCTGCAGTGGAAAGCCTGAGAGGAGGTCACTTCAATGCTGCATTTCAGCAGGAATTGCCCAGCAAAGCTGTCTGTGGGCTCCCGGCTGCCCAGCAAGCCCTGGGTACCTGATAAGGACTTGACCACGGCAAGCCTCTCCAATGCACAGAAACTGCAGTGACAGCCAAGCTGTGCATTGTTATCAGTAGTAACAGTGGGGACTTCCCTGGCAGCCCAGTGATTAGGAATCCGCCTTCCAGTGCAGGGCACATGGGTTTGATCCCTGGTCTGGGAACTAAGACCCCACATGTCACGGGGCAACGAAGCCCACAGGCTGCAACTTCTGAGCCATCACTCTCCCGAGCTCAGGCGCCACATCTCGAGAAGCCCACATGCCACATCGAAGATCCCGCGTGCCGCAGTTAAGACCCGATGCACCCAAAGAAATACAGAAAAGTGAAAATGTTGGTGGCTCAGTCATGTCTGACTCTTTGGGACCCCAAGGACTGTAGCCCGCCAGGCTCCTTTCTCCATGGAATGCTCCAGGCAAGAATACTGGCGTGGGTAAGCAATTCCTTCTCTAGGTGATCTTCCCAAGGCAGCGATGTAACCCAGGTCTCCTGCATTGCAGGCAGATTTTTCTACCATCTGAGCCACAAAAAAGCCCTAAATAAATGTTAAAAAAAATAATAATAGTGCTGACTGCCACATTGTTCAAATGCTCCAAGGGTCTTTGATCATCTTATCTCCTTTCATTTTCACCACAAGACAGTGATGGCAGTATTGAGTCCGTTTTACAGATGAGGAAATAGAGGTCTGTTTAATTGTCAAAGTATAAGTTAAGACTCAAGAATGTTCACACTGAACCCTTGTGTGCTTCTATTGTTGAATATATCCAACTGGCTCCCAGCCTCTCCACTGTCTCCATGGAACACAGGAGAACTTTCTCCATGCATCTCTCCCAGCAGAGAACCCTTTCCTGAATGAACTGGGAATCACGTATTTCCTATAGATGAAGAATACAGCCATTGTGACCCTGGAAGTTAACCTAGGTCTCTTTAGGGGGTTAACCAGTGTCTTTACCAAAAGAGTCTGAGCTGGTCACCAGGAGCTGGGGAGACTGTGTCCACAGTTCTGCTCCATGCCCAGAAAAGGTGCAGAGGAATAGCAACCCTCGCTTGATACTAACGGTGAGCAGGCAACCTAAGAACGGCCACTTCCGGGCAACATGGAGGAGAAAATCACGCACCACCTTAAAACCGCAAAACCAGCGTGCAGAGGCTCTGCCATCCCCTTCCTCTTCTCATTTGTCTTCTCGGTCAAATAAGACACGCTATTATTTGCGACTGGTGTTTTCAGAAATGTGTGAATTGACAAACCCATTTCTTCCCCCTTTGTGGTGGGAAATGAAAGGGTAGGATGGGGTGGGGTGGGGTGTCCTGACTCTGACTTTGGAGGTGGTCAGCCTGAGGCCTCTCGACTCACCAGCTGGGGCTCTGGGGGCCAAGGAAGGGTCCACTACCAGAAAAGACACTTCAGCTCTCCTGGTCTTTAACCATGGGCTTGCCGACCAAGAGAGAATCTCTTCCACCTGGCCCTCTTCCCCATTTGAGAGTCCACCCCACCCAAAGAGAAACCACCTCCCTGGACTGTGGGTTTCTCCAGCTGCTGGGAAAACACCTTCAGGATGGCTCACAAGGCAGCGGCAGGCACATAACCTTAGGCACTGCCCAGCCGGATGGCAGACATTTTCCTGGGTCCTCTCCTCATCAACTACACCCCAGTCTTCTAGGAAGACGGCAGCAGTCTCCATCAGCAATCCTGATCACACCCGACCTGGGGAGGGAGGCCATTCCCATCAGGAGAGTAGGGACCCAGGTGGAGGGAGCTACAGGGGCTTTCTAAAAGGCAGAGCAATGGGACTTAGCTGGCAGGCCACTGGTTAGGACTCCTCAGTCCCAATGCAGGAGACAGGGGTTAGATCCCTGGTCAGAGAACTAAGATCCTGGATGCCACACAGGCAAAAAATAAATAATAATTGGAAGAGTAGTATATCTTCCCAAACATAATTATTTTCTGAATTATTATATGATTCAGTGCAGTTCAGTTCAGTTGTTAAGTGTCCGACTTTGAGACCCCATGGACTGCGACATGCCAGGCTGTCCATCACCAACTCCTGGAGCTTGCTCAAGCTCATATCCATCCAGTCGGTGATGCCACCCAACCATCTCATCCCCCTCCCAGCCGTACAACTTAAAATGGATCCAGCCACACCCTAAAGCTTATTTGAAAACCCAGCAGAGCACTTCGGATTGAGTTCTCCCCGTTTAAAGAAGCACAAAGACCTCGGTAAGGTCTGGCAAGGCCTTCCCTCTTGGTAAGACCTCAGCATTCTGTTTGGTGGTATAAAATTTTCCCCCAAAATGTCAGTCATTCAATGAGTCTTGTGCCAGTTTCTGTGTTAACTTGAGAATTCAGCAATAAATAAAAGCCCCGGTGCACAGAGAGATACCATTCTAATACAGGATGACAGGCAACAAATAAACAAGTAAACGCATATTACAGGATTTACGGTAGCTTCGAGATACGATCTATTAGAGCTGAGAGACCCTCTGAAAACACAGAGATAGGGAGGGAGAAGGAAAAGTTTTTTTTCTAGTAAGGGTTAAGCAAACCTCACCTGGAATATTTCTTGGTACTTAGAATGAAAGTAATTTGCAGAAATGTCTTACATATACAAATGTAATAGCCGAGTCCTACTTTCTCCCTCAGAAATACACAGCTCTCAGCTCCCTGCAAGGTGTCAAGAAAAGGCTGCAGCCCCCAGCACGGGGCCAGCATGCGTTTTCCCTGCCCAGCCGGCGCAGTGTGCCTGGACCGCCAACGGGTTAAGGTGGCCGCGAGATGCTTGGAGCGCTGCATAAACAGTGCGTGTCAGACGTTCCAAGCATCCTTCATCTTCCCTATCTCCCGGTCCTCAGCTGTCAATCAGCTGTCACTAGCCCGCACATCAGCAGCGTGCGCACATCACCCGGCTGTCAGCAAAGCAGCTGATGAGACTCGGCTCCAGACTGTCAATCATCTTTGTTTCTCTCTGCCGCTCGGGAAATATTTTGGCTCAGAGAAACAAAGAAGCCTGGGCAACAATGGCTCGTTGTCAGGCAGGCACTCCTGTACGTGCATATAAGATCTTCAACGAGCCCTGATCATGCCTCACCCCCCCCAAATGATGTTGGGGTCAGGGGTGGACAGATGGAAGACTGAGAGTCTGTTTTATTAGTAATTCTAGTTCCCCGAGCAGACCCTGACGGATTCACACACACAAATAAGCACAGGAACATGAAACAACGGTAACTTGAAGTTATCTGAGCTTATGCCTCAGAAAAAAAATAAGGCTCGGAGGATGGATGACTGCTTGGTTCGCAATTATTCATCATTGATCAGGCAGGCTTTTGGGGAGAGAGTAACTGCTGGATTGCTGAGTTCATTCATCTCCCAGGGAATTCTGAGATAGTAGCTTCGACTCTCCCACTCTCTGGGGTGTGAGGAGGTTGGGAGCACCCACGCACAGAAAAGCCAGTGAACTCATTAGGACCCTGGTGAAGTGGGTTTGCTGGTGCTTGCAACAGGCGTCCTTATGTCAAATGTAAAGACATTCTGGAACAGCACCCTGTCTGGCACAGTAGCTGCCCCTCTCATACAAAATATGTATTGAACATGTCCCCCACCTCTAAAAGCCTGCAATATACAAATCTAAAGAGATGCTCCTGGCTCTGGGCTTCCATCGAGAAAGCTGTCCTGCTCCCCACGTTTGCCACTTTTGCGAAATCACCATGCATGTATTGGCATAATGAATCAACTCATCTTGCAATAGATCCAAATACTAAGTTATCTAAAGTCCTGCAACATTAAGAAAAAAAATATATACTTATTGTACACTAATTGCTTTGCAATACATTTAGAAACCATTGGATCTTTTCATGGTGTTTATCAAGACTGCTATTACCTATCAATTACCCAAAGCTCTGAACCGACCCGTTTGTGCATACTGTGACTTGCTCCCATTATCAGGTCTGTGTTTGTGACATTTGGGATGTTTTATCCTCTGACAGACAGGTCCTTTCCTACTGCGCAACACTGATTTCTGAAAACGCATCTCTCACTGATCTAACCGGACATTAATTGCTTTTGTGCTGATGTATCTGTGCCTCTCGGTCTTCCAGCATAACTAGCAAATCTCATCTCTGACAAGTTGGCTGAACCTAATCAAGACAGATCAGCTGTTACCCAAGGTGCCATGGGCTGTAATTTGTGGTTCTTTACAGAGTTATCACTCGCTGGAAAGACAAGGAACTATAAATTCTGTCAACAGGAATCCCAAAGTGTGTGTTCCAAGCAGCTGTGGCCTCCCCCGCCCGCAAGACAACATAGCACTTGTCAAATAAATACTTGAGATAATTGATAAGAGGGGATTAGAAGGATGTGGCTGATACCATGACTGTAAAGCTTTTTTTTTTTTTTTAAGGAAACTTCAGAAGCAACACGGTTCGTCTGAAGTATGAGCTGTCAAGGGTACAGAAGGTTTGCAGGGAAGTGAGGGGTGACAACTGTCCCCAGTTCAGCTCCCACCTATCACTTGGGAACTTGGTTCAGATCTGCCTCGCTCTCGAAACAGGCAAATGCCGAGACATCCTAAGCTGCAACGGAAACATCTCGTCGCCCGGTGACAATGCCTTGATCAGAGGCACGAGGGCAGGGAATACTGTCAGCCTGTCAGCACCGTTCTATTCTCTGAAGACCCCTGTGGTTTTCTTTCAGGTGCAAAGAAAAAAAAAAAGAGGAAATATTAGAGAAAATAAACCGCTTTCTTACTGTATCGCTTTGGTCCATCTTCCAAACAAAATGAAAGGGTTAATGTGGCATCATCTTCAAAAAACTCGGTGGCAAACGCGTCCCACCAGAGGTTGTCGCTGTCCTGCAAAGAGACAGATGATTTATTTAGCAGGTGAGAGCGGAAAATATCTCAGAGAGGAGCTGAGAAAGGGAAAAAGGCAGAGTAATCCAGTCACCGGTGGCTTGGGACTCTGCATATGTGTGCGGGTGTTCTGGAGGGAGGGTGGGCGGGCATGTGGTCACTCCTCAAATTAATTGCCTCAAATGGGGACCAAATTCCAATTCAATAAACGAGCTAATGCAAAGTGAATGAAAATTAATTCTGGGGAACATATTTGGGGAGATGTAATAAACATATTTTGGAATACTGTGACAGTTTTTAAGAAAAGGGTTTGCAGGTAATGTAAAATGTACTCAGCCTTTTTTCTCTTTCTTTCACTTTGTTCTTTTAAGAGCCCGATTTTACAAACAGAAACCACAATATTACAATCAGGTTAAGGAGACTACATTTTTTAAAGATAATTTATTTTAAAAAAAAAGATTGTGTGTGGCCTGTGGCATTCCTTGATGTAAATATCCCTATGAAAGGATACAGGTATTGCTACCTGGATTTATGTAGAAAGATGAGTTTGTGCACAAGCAAACATCACATACATGGGGACTGTTCTCGAGGATTGGTTTAAGATGACAGGCAATCACTAGCTCGTTATTAAATCAGTTATTAAAAACAGAACAGTGCAGCAGAGGATTTATACCTTTGACCTCTATGTTACATTGGCTTCAACACATAAATTTTGCCTCTTATTCACTGATGACCTAAGTCAAGACGCCAGCTTCCTTGCCTCCATTTACTCATTTGCAAACTGGGAACAATTGCTGCAGTGGACTTGGGAGCCTAGGGAGTAACTGTCCGGCGCATAATTGTTGCTCAATAAATGGAAGCTATTGTTATTTATTATGGTCTTCTTTGACCCTAAGATACCTATAAGTAGAGAATCTGAATTTCAAAAAACTTAAACTTCTCAATCAAGATCATCAGCTAGAAAGTGGTGAAGCTAAATTCCATATTGTGGTTCCCTTAGTCCACACATAACACAATGACAGGGGAACTTTAGCTTCACCACTTTCTAACTGATGAAAGTCTGCTAATTCTAGCCTATTTTTTTTTTAATGGATTTAATCTTTTTGGAGTAGTTTTCGGTTCACAGCAAAATTAAGAGGAAAGTACAGAAGATCCCCACACTCCCTTGCCCACATACATGCAGAGCCTCGCTCACCACAGCAGTGGATTTGTATAATTGATGAACTGACCAGCCCATGTTTTTTACCAAACAGTTCTGCTCAAAAAGTGATTTTCACCTTAGATGGAAAACAACAAGCAAGAGTAGAAGAGGCTGGCATTGGCTGCAGGAAATTTTGCTTCAGCGGATCTCCTCCAGTTCGTCCAGATTTTGTCCCCTTCCCCCATCTTCATGTGTTTTTTTCTGAAAATAAACCTTCTCTTTAAACACCCGCTCCTGCCATTCACTGGCTAGTATAGTTCCTGGGATCAGTGAAGCAGTTTTATGAGAGAAATCTTCATAGTAGTTAGGCCAGGAGTCCAGGGAGCAGCTGAAATACAATTATAAAGACCCATGCTAAAAAAAAGAAAAAGACCCATGCTGAACCAAATGTGAAATTTCTAGCAGAAGACCTAGCAATGTGACAGGTGGAATCTCAGTTCTCAGTCATAGAGCTGAGCTAACAACCTCATGAGCTGTGGGCAATGGTAAAAAATCAGTGCTGCCACATTTGATTTCTAGATGTCAGTCATCTAGATGGCGTGAGCCTTGCAGACAGAGGCAACAGGGCTCTGCTTGACCACATGTGAGAGAGACCAGGGAAAGGTAACAGAGAGTGACTGGTCACGATTCTGCCTTTCTATGCACAGGCTAGCACTTCCGCCTCCTGATTGCAAATGTGGTGCCTCCATCAGCAGAGAAATGAATGATCCAGGAAGTTCTACTGGGAGCAGGCTGTATGGTCAAGTCCAGTCAACTGACCAGTAAAAGGCTGCATGCAGAAACTTTCCAAGGCTGTTTAGCGGCAAGGATTCCACAGAGGCGCTCGGGAAGCCTGGTTTCCCCTAAGAGGGGAGGGCAGGCAGGATGCTGCCAATTCTCCATGAAGTTGCTGCTCCTGCTGCTAAGTCGCTTCAGTCATGTCTGACTCTGTGTGACCCCATAGACGGCAGCCCACCAGACTCCACCATCCCTCCATGAAAGCAACCCCTCAGTTCAAACCAACATAGAGATTAACCAGGAAAGGCCTTGAGACTCACCGGCAGGTCAAGATCAACCTCTCAAGATTTAGCAGTAAAGGTTATAACAAATACTCTTAAAAACAAACCAAGAGCCTGAGGTTTTGTTCTGGGGTATGTGGGGTGGCCATGCATAGCAGGTACTGCCAGATACAATAGATACAATATTTGGTGGATATATTGTAAAACACATTCTATCCAGGTGTGTTCATTTCCTTAGACCTGTCCGACTCTTTGTGACTCAGTCGTAGCCTGACAGGCTTCTCTGTCCATGGGATTATCCAGGCAAGAACACTGGAGTGGGTAGCCATCCCCTTCTCCAGGAGATCTTCCCGATCCAGGGATTGAACCCACATCTCCTGCATCTCCTGCATTGCAGGCAGATTTTTTTATTGCCCAGCCATCAGGCAAACCAGAGAAAATCCATTATTATCCTTCTGGGGACTAGCATAGTGAGGAGTTGGCCTGTGTGGAGTCAAAGGACCCAGCAATTTAGCTTTTCAAACCAAGGGTCCCTTATTAACCATTTCCCGCCCCCTCATCTTTGCGTATATTGTTCTTTTGGATGGGCATGTCCAGCAAAGACCTAGTCTCAGTCCTTGGATTCCTTTTTCCCTGTCTCCTGTGCTAGAAAAGCTGGACACCTCTACGCAGTTAGAGTATGGGTCAAATTATAATTGAATCACTGCCTTGAAATATACTGGCTTGGCCAAAAATTTCGTTCAAGTTTTTCCTTCGGATGGTACAGAAAAATCAGAACGTACTTTTTGGGCAACACAATACATTTATCTAACCTTGTGACTGCCATAGCAGACGCTTAAGGAAAGGACCTGGTATTAAGTGTCTCTCCATCCTCCACAGATCTCCCATCTACAGTTAAGGAGTAGAAGAAATGGAGAGGCCATACCCGTATCGTGAGTAAGATTCTTCCTCGAAGACTGGAGGAAACTTAAATCTAAACTCCATGGCTAGGGAACCAGGACATCATACAAGAGGACCTGTCTCTGTCATATTACTGCTGCCTCCCTTGCTATCAGTGGATGCACCAGCCACGCATGTGACAAGTTCACACAGACGCAGGAAGGACTGCTCACTTATACTGCTGTTCCACTGAACCACCTGTGGGTATCTTTTTTTGCTCTTCTCAGTGGTATGTTCATTAGATGAATACACTTCATTGATCGTAACTCAAATAAGAGAAGTTTTATTTTATCAATTTGTAAAAACAGAGAATGGAGGATAACACGATGAAGACCCATGGGTCCATTATCCAGATGGTTTAATAACTTAAATAATAGTTTAATAATTAATCATTATTAAAATAATATCTTTTTTCCTTTTTAAAAGGAATGAAAAATTATAAATAAAAATCGATGTCCCGGGTCTCCATAGCCAGCTCAGTTCTTCTCTCCCTTCCCCCAGGCTCCCATAAACAACCGTCTCGTGAAAATCATATAGCACTTCACAGTCCATCTTTTGTGTGAAAGTGAAAGTCACTCAGTGATGTCCGACTCTTTGCAACCATGAACTTTATAGTCCATGGAATTCTCCAGGCCAGAATGCTGGAGTGGGCAGCCTTTCCCTTCTCCAGGGGATCTTCCCGACCCAGGGATCGAACCACTGCACTGCAGGCAGATTCTTTACCAGCTGAGCCACATGGGAAGCCCATCTGTGTGCATATATATGCATATATATGAATGTGTGCATGTATGTATATATACACATACGTAACTCCATTAACATGCAGTCCTGTTTTCTGTCTTTAATATTTCATTTAAATGATGTCATACATTATGTTCCCTTTTTTAAACTTGCTTTTTTTCAACATTGTGTTTTGGAGACCTCTCCATTTGATATATTAGAGTCTCTTCTTTCCTTATATAAGCTACATGGTAGCACACTGAATGAACAGAATATATTTTATTTAAGCATTTTGCTACTAATGACCTCTAGACAGTTTCTAATGTTTTGCCATCACAGCAATGCTGGAGGCAGTATCTGCGTGCCCCGCTGTGCTAAAGTGTCAGAACGTCTCCGGGGTGAAATGCCCACACCTAGGCATAGACTGTGTGCTTTTCCATTAGCAGGTCCCTGCGCTTCCAGATTGAAGACTTGTGGTCTGAACTTGCACTGGTAGAGCTGAAGCAAAGAGCATTTCTAAGTGATGTATTTCAGTGGGATCTAACAACAGCATCAACATAATTACAAAACAGAGTCCGGCTCTGCTAGGAGAAGGATGAGGATCCAAACGTCCAAAGAAGGTGCAGTGATCAAAGACCGCCACTCATAAAACTTTGCTTAGCATTCTCTTCAAGGCAGCGTGTATCACAGGGCTTCGTTAGCCAAAAGGAGGGTTTCTTGCCACAATACAAGAAAGGAAGCACAGTCGCTAGGGTCCTCTAAAATGACTCATGAGACAGGATGAGTGAGGACCAAAGGTCCCAACAGGTGGGCCCAAAAGTGGGGAACGGGAGGCACCTAACTCCATACACCCTGCCGCCAGGCTTCTCGTGGAGGTCACGCCTCCCTTTTCCAAACAGAGAGGTCCTTTCAACCCTTGCTATTGCTCAGTCTCTGAGCAGAGCTTGTTTACTAGTTAGTGAATATTAATAAGTAAAGAGTGGATTCTTTTCCCTAAGCTGGAAAGTCACAATAGCAGAGCGCAGCCTCCAGGTAAAGAAAGACGAAATTAACTCAGCCTGAGCTCAGGCATGGAGCCTGGTGCTGACAGGCCCTGTACATTTTAATTAGGTAAAAACACCAGTGGCGCTTCTCCACTCTAA